GACAACTGTGGTTGAAATGGGGTAAACGGTCACAGTAGGAGCAACTGAAAGAACAATAAGGTGATTTAGTACATTATAACTTTCCCCCAAAAAGTTGCAATCCATGAAGAACACAAAACTCAAACATCAATCACCAATTTTCCATGGGTTTTGCATTGAAAGTCTCAAAAGTTGTCTGCAAACATAACGACAACTGAAATTCAGTTAACCCTATGATTCTTAAACCGTGAATCGATATTTTTCTTTCAGACAAGGCAGATGAATTTTTTTCGCTGTTATTGGTTCCTTTTTATGGTATTTAAACATTATCAATAAAATGTTCTTTTATGTGTAATCGCAACCTCTGTTGGTAATACTACATGTTAACTAATCCAGTATTGTACGAAATTGAAGCCATTTACCAACTGCAGTGATGCTAGCAGTAGCATTGTGTCCTGTGCCAACGTTGTTGATAGGAACACAGGTGTACACTCCGTCTGCCTCAGTAGTGACATTGAGTATGCTTGAGCTGCTGTTACCAATAATATTATCGTTATAATAGAATTGGTACAGGTGGGCATCCGGGTTGGCATCTGCATTGCACTGAAGGGATACAATAGAGCCACGCAAAACTGTGGTGTTCGTTGGAATGGTTGTAAGATTTGAAGAAGATGGACGATCTGCAGTAACAACGGTACAATATCTTTTAATCCATTGATGTAGCTGTAATTGGCTTCAAAACTAGTTGAGACGCTGCCATTAATGGCGTTTCTAGTGTTTTTCCAACAACCCAACTTTGAATTGAGGGGAAGGGGGAGAGGGTGGATTCTTTTCTTCTTTGAAGTTGCTGCATTTACGGACAGTGCCTCGACAATTTTGTCGCCGGTTGTGGATGAATGAATGATTCATGTCAGTTTAGTAGCACAACCTACTAAACCATGGTAACAAGAGACATGGAGCAGCAGATGCATGATTATTTGGGTGACATTGCTGCTGAAACGAAAAACAACTCGATGTTCCGGTATAACTGGTTGCCAAAGTAAAAAAAAGTGATTCCTTTACTGATTTTGTCAAGTTGTACTAACTTAAATCCAAGATAACAGATCCAGAATAGCGGCTATTTAGAATTACATGTACATGTATGACTTGAGGTCCCCGTCACGTGAAATCATCACATTAAGTCAACAAACTTAGCGGTCATGCTTTTCTGAAATGGCTACAAACCTTTTAATGCGATCTATTTTAATTTGTGTTTGTTCTTTCTTAATATGTTTTCCAGTCCTTTGATGGATAGATATAACGTATGTAGCATTTTTGTTTATTATTATGCAAACTTTTATAAAGTAATATAACATTGTAGCTTTTAAACTCATTCATGATCGATAGAGAAAAACACAAAAACATCTCCACCTTGAATTAAGGAGGTTCTATTATAGGACATCAATTAATAAAGAATTTTTGTGAGGTTTGACTTAAATTTTTTTCAAAACTTGAAGTCGGTAGGAAAAGTGTGCTGTGCCACGTTTCTCAACCCACCTCTTGGTGCTTGCATTCTGCGTAAAGAATTTTGTATCTTGTTTGATGCATTATTTGTAAAAAATAATAATAAAATAAATAAATGAATTCAAAAAATCAGAAACAGTTAATTGATCACTGGTTATAGGTGTTGTTGTCATCAGCTAATGATTGACACATGACAAAAATAGAAACCATTGTCTGTTCAATTAAAACATCATTAGTGTACAAGTGCATTACACACATTCGTATATCTTTATAGAATCAGCGACAGGACGTAAAACGTATATAATATATAAATATATTTCAGAATGAACGATTGCCTGTTTCAAAATATACCAAATGTTTTATTTAGCTACATTTTCCTTAATAAGCTTTTCTTAGTAAAGTAAAGAGACCTTCATTTTCTTCTCAATAAAGTGTTACAGATTAATGTATTAGTATATGTAACAGGACTACATGCTGTCCAATTTGGAAATAATTGGATAAAAGATATTCCGAGGACGGTCAAAATTAGACAAGGCCGTAGGCCAACTCCAATTTAGCTTTCAGATGAATTTTTCGAATCCAACTATTTCCAAACTGGACAAGCTTTTAGTCCTCTAACTTATTAGTTATACAGCTGGTTAGTTAATCCACACTTGTTAGCGTGTCACAGAAATAACATTGCACACTGAACCGTTTGTAGTTGAAACAAAAACACAGAACAAGATTGAAAAAAAAAATGTTTATTCTAGGAGTGTCAAATTATCAAGGCACAAACTAAGTCATCACCTCAAATCATTTCCGCAGACTTTATCTGCAATTAAACATACAATTGTTTCACATGCCAACTTAACGCTTTTTGTTGCGGCTAAAGGGTTTTAGGTTTTTTAATTTTCTCCAAAGTGACTCCTGGATCTGAATATAACTAAAAGCGATTTTGTTTTGTCTGAGAATGTGGTGGTTTCCTGCAATGTTTTGACACGCTAAGCCCGCAACCTCGAATGTCAAATGAACTTGATGGGTTTTGTTTGCGTCCTCTGCAACTGAAGAAACAAGTTCCAGATACAATGTTCTGAGCGTCGAGTATTTCTTCGATTAGCCATTAGCTTTCAATTGGTTTCCAAATGTGTCATGACCTATTGTTAGTCTTGAGCTGTTCTGATACAAAGTTCTATCTCATGGGACGAAGTTCACTTTGTAGTCCCTTTAATAGCACCTCTTCCGCTTTCGTGTTTTGATTTCTGCTGTGATTTGCTTGCATTTTAGCGTTTTTGTTCGAATTGGGCGTCGACGTCGCCTCACTAGAATTGACGTATGGCTGCTTTGATTGTTTTGTGCGACAGTTGTTCCCTATCCTCTGTTTGCCTTTTGCTGTTGTTTTTTCTTCCTGCCGAGGTTCCAGTACCAAAAATTTAAATTTTCGTGATTAGGATCACTGTCCGCGGACTTCAGTTCCTCCTAATAAATTGATATATCATCTAGCAAATCAGTCAACCCCAAGAAATCGTAAAATTTAGTTCCCAATCTGAACAATCTCTCAAGCTAACCAGCTAAACCAATTCCTTTGCTTACAAAATCACTTTCGTGGCTGAAGAGCACCTCCACGCGGGACGCCATTAATTCTTGACAGCGCTGAATAAAAGTTTGCGGACCTCTTGGGAAACCAATTTCCGATTAATTCGAGCGTTTAATTGGTCTAAAAATAACTTTGGTGAAATTCACATATCTTAAGGGCTAGACTAGGCGTTTCCGTCTCTGTCCCATTATGGCTCTTGAAGTTAACAATTCTGACTATATCGGATTAACTACCAGCTATCTAATATAAATGATAATACAGGTACAAACAGCACATACTTACAAAGCACAGTAATGTTTGCAACAGCCATAGTGGGAATTCCCACTCCATTATCTCCTGAGCACTGATACTGGATCACATTATCAGGTGTTCCTGGTCTGCTTACATTCACCACCGTGAGTATTGATGTTTTTGATAGTACCTCGGAACTGCCAACTCTGGTCCACGTTATGCTTGGCTTAGGTTTGCCAGACGAATTACAAAATAATGAGATGTTGTTCCTTTCCACAACAAAATCTGTTGTTGTCTTGATTTCTATTGACGCGGTTTCTGCGAAAAAAATTGTCCATTCAATAGAGGAGTTCTCGAATTCTTGCTGGAAAAAGAAACCATATGCATCATTTTATTGCTGACTTACCAACTACGGTGACGTTGACAGTGGTATTGTGTCCCGAGCCCAGTGAATTGATAGGAAGACAAGTGTAACTTCCATCTACATCGACAGTAATATTCAAAAGGCCGTTACTGCTGTTACCAATTAGGATGTCATTGACATAGTACTGATACTCGTGGGCAGCAGGGTTGGCATCTGCACGGCATATTATTGACAGTATTTTACCACGGAGCACTTTGGCGTTGCTTGGAATAGTCGTAAGAATTGGAGCAGATGGCAAATCTAAATCAAGCCAGAACATCCGAGTTATCCCTTTAGTCAACGGACTTGTTTTAAAAGGAAAAAATAATTTTTTTCAATGACTTAGTGAAAAAATAAATAATGATATTAAAAGAGCTAATGGCACATACTTACAAAGTACAGTAATATTTGCAACAGCCATAGCGGGAGTTCCCACTCCATTGCTTCCTGAGCACTGATATTGGATCACATTATCAGGTGTTCCTGGTCTGCTTACATTCACCACCGTGAGTACTGACGTTGTTGATAGGACCTCGGAACTGCCAACTTTGGTCCACGTGATGGATGGCTTAGGTTTTCCAGATGAATTACAAACTAACGAGAGGTTGTTCCTTTCCACAACAAAATCTGCACCTGTCTCAGTTATTTTTACTGAAGGGCTTTCTGCAAGAGATTTGTTCATTAAAAAGAAGAGTACATGTAGTGATGCTGAAAAACTGTGACGAAAAGAAATCATAATGCATCATTTTATTACTTACTTACCAACTACGGAGACGTTGACAGTGGTATCTTTTTCCCGGACTCGTAGCCTTTATCATAACTCTGACTGTAACGCTCTACGAAGTTTTAATATTTACTACTTGCCAGCGTTAGTGTGAGCTCTAATTCAAAGGGCATCTCTATGTTTCACCAAGACAACGGATTTTTGAACCATCGTCATTTTCTGAACAATTCTCTAAAGTACATTTCGAAGAAATCTATACTTTATAACATCACTTCTTTTCCAGCCTGAGTTATTTTCAACAATAACCGAGTGGTTTTCACTCTTTGAAATTACACATGCTATTTCTGTCCGTGAAGTCTTTCGCAAAAAAAAACTCAATCCCAACAGACACCATGGTTTTTTTTATTGCGCACAAGGAACCGAGTGATTTTGGCGTGTAAATTTTGGGACTAACTACAAGAAGGAACAAAAGTGTTGAGACACTTCTCATAAAAGGCCCCTTCTTGAACAGTGGACATGCCTATCCCCTCCCCGTGTGAACCAAAACTTCCTCCACCTAAAACCAATGTTGTATTTTAGACCCTCCAGACTTTCCTTCATCGTATAAAACTAATAGATTCTATGTTGTCGCGCATCTTCAAAGTAGTAAATAACAAAGAGACGTCAAAGTGTGGTGAGAATACCAATGACACACTTGCCTTCGGCTTGTGTGCATCTTCTTTTTTGTTCTTACCCAATTTTGACGTCGCCTGTGATCTATTACAATAAGCAGACGCGTAGTAACATGGAGTCTATTTAAATCTATACTTACCAACTACGGTGACGTTGACAGTGGTATTGTGTCCCGGACCCAATGAATTGATGGGAAGACAAGTATACCTTCCATCCATGTTGACAGTAATATTCAAAACGCCGTTACTTCTGTTTTCAATGAGGATGTCATTAACATAGAACTGATACACGTGGGCAGCAGGGTTGGCATCAGTATGGCAAATAATTGACAGTGGGTTTCCACGAAGTACTGTAGTGTTGCTAGGAGTAGTTGCAAGAACAGGGGCAGATGGCAAATCTAAATAAGCACAAAACACGTTAAACTTTTAGTCAAGGCTGTCATGTAAATAGTACATAGTCTCTCCACCTATACGCAGAAGTGACTGTCCAAGTATTCCTTTTGACATGGCTCACCGCACATCATCCCCGAGAGAGTGGGAGTCGGAATGTATTATACCCATCACAGGTTGAACATGACATCTTTATAAAACTTTTTTTCAATTTGCATCTCGTGACAAGCGCTACAAAGAACACAATAGTAAGACAGAAAAGAAACATAATTTATGCTTATCAGACCAACATTCAAAAAAGTGAACCATTCTCCTGATACACGTGAAAGTTCCGCGTTGCTGTAGACGGCATACCCGTAACGACAAGCTGAAATGCTCTATAAGAAGAAGTATGACTGTATGATCAAGTTTCATTGTTGTAACAGGAGGTATCAAGAACAACGATAAGTGCAAATAACCAAATCATATACTTACAAAACACTGTTACAGTAATAAATCTTGCAGGCCCTTCACCAAAATCATTGTAGGGAATACAGCTGAAATCCACCTGATTGACTCTTTCATTTAGTGATATTGTGTACACTGCAACAACATCTCCAGTTGTTGTGTTAAATAAAATTTCTTGCCCTCTATAGAACCGGAATTTTGCGAGAGGATTTGCCACGGCACTGCAGGTAAGGTTAAAGTATTTACCTAAAGTAACTGCAGCTCCTTTCAAATTGGTTGTAAAATTTGTGTTCGTCGGAGTGTAATCTGAAAAAAACAACATTGGGAACATCTCTATTTTTTTCATGCAGTTGTTTATTCCACCAATGCTTTTAGATTAACCAATTAACAAATGGCAAACTGCACAACGTGTACTGTTTAAGCAATAGAAAACGTTTCCCGTGTTTGCATAGCCTGATATAACACGAGAGGGGCTGGGAGAATTCGAGACAGTTATGCGTCTCGGGTTTTGCATAACTGTCTAAAATTCTCCCAACCCCTCTCGTGTTTATATCAGGCTATGCAAATACAGGAAAAAATTTTCTATTGCTTTTATAAATTAACTCTCCCGTGAAAAAAACGAAAAACTCTTTGTTATGGCACTGATTAAAAGAGAAATTTTCCCCAGTCGCGAAGTTTTGCACGCGTAATCAGTTCTTGTTTTGTAAAACAGAGGCTTCCCAAAATACGGATATTTCTCGCTGAAAATGTCAGCTTAAGCGAAAAACAATTGACATAGCATGTTTTGTAAAGATTTTACAAGTTTCAGCCTACGAGGGAATAGGTAAATAAAGTATAATTGTCGAGTCAAATTCGAATTCGTGCTTGTGAGAATAGCGCGCGAAAAGCAAAACATGTTGACGTCACAACGATGTTTGCATACTCTCATGCAAACATGCCTCCCGGGCAATCAAAGCGCGCGTATTATCTCAGTTAGAATGAGTTATAGTTGCACGCGGGAGGTTGCTAAGCACGAAAGAAGCGACTCTAGCTACTTGAGTGCTTAGCAATGCACCCAAGTGCAACTTAACTCAATAGTACAAGATAAACCGTTTGCCATTTGTTTTATAATATAATCAAAAGAGGAAAAGGAAACTACCAAAACATCTCACGGGAGAAAATTACCTTTGGCTTAACTGACATGCAAGATATCACAAAAATAATCATGTGGTCTTAATGACAAAATTATTTTAACAAAGACCGAATTATTTCACATGGTTGCACAGTGCAAACGATTCAAATGCAAATTGTCCGAAATCTGACAAATCCTGAGGAAAATACACTTTCTTCGCTCTATTAAAATTGAAGTTCCGTCGCTTTAATCGCCATTTGAAAATGGAGTCAATTCCCATGAGAACCAGAAGGACCGTTAAAAACAACTTGTACAACATCAGTTGCCATCAAAAATTAGTCAAGGCTCCACTCACTCGGATGATCATATTCCACCTACTTATGTATCTGCAAAACGCTATATCAGAGTGTAACAGCCACTTTTCAGTTTTGTAAGAACATGAACCGCTATTATAATTCACTTCCCAGTAAATGCCCTTTTGCACCATTATGACTCAATGAAGTTTACAATCATAGACTGATACTGACAAGTGAAGAGTTCTATACAAAAACGTCCCACCCCGGGCCCCTTCCTTTAGCTTTTGCAGGAGACATTTTAATTGTATGAAATCCTTAAATTATGATTCCTTTTTTTAACTTTTGTAAAAAAAGGACTCAGTTAGCGTCTGTTAATAAACATAATGCTTTGATATCACTAGTTGAGCTTACTCTGAACAGTGATGAAAACATCACCATTTGCTGGATTGCCAAAACCATTGTCAGCAATGCATCGATAAAGTCCTTCTTCTTTTATGCCAGTTATAGTCAATGGAAAGGTGACTGAACTGGTATCAGTGGCTCTTATCCAGCGGACGCTTGGTGCTGGGTGACCTTCAGCTGAACATTTTAAATTAATTGTGTCATTCAGGGTTACAGTCTGGTTACCAGAGATGTGAGTGATACTTGCAGGAACTGTTAGTGGAACCGAAACAAGAGAGAAAGTTATGATGTATTGATAACGAAGGCAACACAATTAAAAATTTAAAGGCACGTGAAAGAGAAAACCTCTAAGTTATCTTAAACTATTTACCAAATTGGTGGAGTATTTGCAACGTGAAAAAACCGTAACTTGTAAAGCTTCGTTCTACAGATTATCCGGTGTCTCATTTGTAGAAGCACTTCAGTGAAAACATGACCGAAATGTTTTTTAAAGCGCTATTCAATAAATAGGCCGTTTTCGATATATTAAAATTCAGCATGATAGCGAGTTTTAGAGAACACCATAAAAGAAAACGAATAAGCATGTTTAGTCATTTTCTTTGTGAATTTTAGTATATCGATAGTGGCCCATTACGAGTGATTCGAATTGGAGGGCCCTATTTTGTTAAGTAATAATCACTTAGTCTTTGTTACACGAAGCTTGAATATATAAGAGTTAACTCTGCTTTTCTGCAAAGCACAATAACGATAACTTAAGCAACTTAAAGAGCAATTTAAGATGACGGAGAGAAACCTATTTAGCGAAGTTATCTAAGGCTATTATAGAAATGCCACTTAATCCTTGAACTTACCGTTTACTTCAATCCGTACATTGTAAGCCCACGTATCTGATCCCACCTGCACTCTGCATTGGAATGTAGCGTTCTCTCTCTTTGTCACTATTCTTATTATCAGCTTAGAATATTTGCTCGTACTACCAATACTAAACCGTGCTAGGTAGTCATTCCTGTCATTGATTGATGAGCTTCCGTTTAGCACAAATCCAATGTCATCTGGTTGGCTTATGCCATCACCAATTGCAAAGAAAGTGAAAGCGATGTTCTGATTATGCAATAGAGTGTATTTCCATCTTACAGTGGCATTTTTACTTCCATTGACTGCCTGGATTACAGCTGTTTCAATATCAGCTGTTCCTGGGTTGGTTTGATTCCAAGCCGGAGGAGGCGATGTCCAGATAAATATCGCATCTGAAATAAATATTTTCCCTTAGCTTCAAAGATTAATACCGTGGTGTGATAACTTACAGGCTTATTTTAGAATCTTATAGAAATACGTCGATCCAAATAGCGGTATTGACTCTTGATGGAATGTCCTATTAGGATTTCTTGACTGCAGACCAGGCAGAAGTAATTTTTAAAAAACTTTAGCGAGATCATACCAGTTGAGTACTCCTCTCTTTAAATTGGCTCTGGAGAGTCACTGAATTATTCTATTGAGAAGTGCCTCTTTTAACAACCCAGCAAGTTTGAGTTGCTAAGTTGATGGAAGGTTATCTTGTTACTACACTGCACATTGTACTGATTTAGATTTTAAATTGCCTGTCAAGGAAACTCAAACCGCGATTCAGCTGCTTGGCACAATGAAATAAAAATAAAGAAAGAAAGAAACACTAGACAAGCAACAAAACCACTGATCCACGAAAACTTCGACAGTATTCTTAGTAACCAATTTTCTTTGGCATTACTTTGTACTCTAAATCACTTTCTTCTAGAAAAGTGTTAAGTGGAGAATTGAAATGGAGCAAAGCAGCACGAATGTTCGTTTAGGCAGACAGCGACAACTTACCGAGAAAGTTTATGGGAGATAATAAATTCGTATTCATCAAAAAAACGTTAAACAGTAATGATTAACAATTTCGTGGATAGTCGTCGACCTCCAATCGAAGTCATCGGTTGATGTGACAGTTTTAGCGACTTATAGCTGATCAGTGACTTGGTGAAGTTGATACAAGATGCCAAGGTGGCCAAGGAGGGACTTGCAACTATTATGTTGCTTTCAAAATGATATTAAATGTTTATTTCGGCAAACATGAAATGTAAATACCTCCAGACATCATAGCTGCTAATTACAGAGCAATTGAATTTTAACTGTTAATCATGTTAAGGAAAGAAACTGAACTTCTTACCTGATATAGTAACGTCAATAAAAAAGCACAAAAGAGTAAGATAGCCAGTGAAGAATCGATGTTGCCCCATAATACTAGTAAGCATTAAAGTTCAAGGAGATCGGAATCCTGCCATTACAAATAACCATTGTTTTATCACTACTATGCGAAATCACGGAAACTGATTTACATAACGAAAATGAACAGACAGAGTCGGAAGTGTAGTTCATTGTTTCCCTTGTATAATCTTTCCCAGAGCTCGACCGACCTGTCCAGCGGCCTAAGGAAACGAGGGTATATACTTTTATGGTGGAAAGCCATAAGTGGACCCGTGATATTAATATTTAGTTTTGTGTCATCACTAATATTTAGTGGTAGTAACTGGTGGTTACTGGTAGTATCAAGTAGTGCTCGGTAGTTACTGATAGTTAGTAGTAGGTACTAGTAGTTACTAATAGTTATTGGTAGCTACTAGAAGTTACTTATAATTACTGCTAGTTACTAGTTACTGGTAGATACTGGTAGTTACTAGTAGTTACTGGTAGTTTCTAGTGTAGTTACTTGTAGTTACTAGTAAGTGGCAGATCCAGGGGAAACTGGAAATCGCCCCCCCGCCCCCCCGCTTATCTAAGGGTCTGGATGACCGCCCATCTCCTCCCTCCCCCTCCCCCCCCTTATCTCAAGGTGTAGATCCGGCACTGCTGGTAGGTACTGGTACTAGTTGATGGTAGTTACAAGTACTTGTTAGTGGATACTAGTAGTTGGTGGTAGTTAGTAGTAGTTTGTGGTAGTTACTAGTAGTTACTGGTTAGTAGTTGTCGGTAGTTACTAGAAGTTGCTGGTAGCAGCTACTAATAGAAACTACCGAAAACTACGTTCAACTACCACCAACTACTAGTTGCTACCAGTAACTACTAGTAACCACCACTAACTACCAGTAACTGGTAGTAACTGCCAGTAGCTACTAGTAACTACTGCTAACTACTACTAACTATTAGCAACTGCGATTAACTTCTATTAACTACTTCTAACTGGTAGTAACTGCCGACAACTACTAGTAACTATTAGTAACTACAGACAACTACTTATGACAAAGTTACTACCACTAACTATTGGTGAGAAGACACAATACTATATATTACACAGAGTGTATATCTTCGGTGCACTTGTGGATTTCGACCATGAAGTAAACGTTGCTCAGTGGCACTTGTTTGAAGTATAAGCTTGCTTTTCAGGTTCAGCAAAACTATTCAAGTTCCTTTCACTGGACTTTCATTGCTTTAACGACTTTTGCTCGGGACCGCAGTCAGAATGTCGATAAGATATATATTATGCGTGGCCATATCCACCATGGTGCTTGATGGAGGTATAATAGACCTTGTCACGGTTTTCGACGCCATCTTGACGAGTAGGCAAATTACAGTGAGAAATTACAGTGTTTGTATGAGAATCTAATGTTGAATAATTTCCGTAGAACGGCTGTTCTGGAAAAAATGTGAATTGTGAACCAAAGTTTCACTCCTAGGATTCTACCGAAAAAAATTACAAGACCTAAAACCACTTTTTTTAAAAATTTCTATACATTTGTCTGTATGAAAGTCCCGGGAAAAATTACAGGCAAATATATGGAACAGTTAAAGCAAGTCTCTGGAGAAATTTAAGCACAGGTACACCCCCAAAATGTTTTAGTACAATCCTTTGTTTTGTAGCTTTAGTTTACAAGTCTTTTTTTTTTCAGAACAGTCGTTTTACCGAAATTATTCGACATTAGATTCGCATACAAACACTGTAATTTCTCACACGTCTGCCTAGCTCGTAAAGATGGCGTCGAAAACCGTGACAAGGTCTATTGATAAATGGGTATACTTGAACAACTATTTATGCTTACTTGTGTAATATGCAATTCAGGGCTTCTTAAATTATACTTTATTCACAGATTCACACGCTTTCTTTATGTGGACTGCGCCTTCTCCAGCTTGGAACCAAACTAATCCAGGAACACAAGAAATTCAAACTGCAGTTATTGGAGTACTAAACGGCAGTAAAAATCATCGGTTGCAATGGAATTACACACTCCAGCCGAGCCAAAGTTTAACATTTGCCTTCTTCGGTATTGGAGATGGAAGCAGCCAACCAGATACCATAGGCTTTGCGCTGAGAGGAATTTCTACAATCAATAACAGGCACGAATATCAAAGAAGGTTCAATATTGCAAGTACAAGTGAATTTTCGACGTTGATAATACGCGAAGTGACTCAAAGAGAAGAAGCAACCTTTCAGTGCAGACTCCAAATAGACTCGAATACATGGGCCTACAACGTACGAATTTACGTCACAGGTAATAAACCTAAGCTAAATTATTTCTAAATCATAATTTTGTTAAGAATTTTAAAGACACAGGCTAGGTCTGTTACGTTGTTCTCATGCAAACAAACAATTTAATCCGTATTCGGCCCTTTTCCAATGCCTTACTTAGATTAAGTATCGAAGAAATGAACAATTTTCTTTTATTTTAAGTGAAACACTGTTACTTAAATTCATTCTCTTTTCTTGTTCTCAACATTGCGAAGTTAGATCACTCGGATATGAATAGTCGTCATATTTATTTTTTTATACTCTTCATTGACACGGTTTGATGGACGTTTCGAAATATGTTACATCTATTTCAAAACAACTAAAAATCGATATAAGCGGATTTGGAAAGACGTTTACTTAAACATGGGCAACACAGAAAACTGCTCTACAGCTTGGGTTTTTTATATAATATAGTAAATCATGGCATGTACGTTCAATTTGTCCTTCGCCTTCGGATGAGGATGAGTGAGCCCAAGAAAGAGTACCATATGTACCTCAAATCTATCAAAAAACGGCCGAAATTGGCGAAGCTTTAGGATCTCCAATAAAAAATGTAATCAAGACCCATAGTCGTACAATTGGTTGCATTTCTACCTTTCAAACCTCGTCCTCCCCTTTAAAAAAATGAATAATGAGTGTAGCAGGTTATGGTTGAACATCTTTCACTCCCGTGTAAGCTGAGAAGCATATACAGTTTGTTGGGGCTCCACAGGGTATTTTGCTGGGCTCTTTACTATTATTCATCAGTGTACATAAAAATACATGCCACTAGATATCACACTTAATCACAGGCTAACCTTGGCCATGGTTATTTTAAAAAAAATTCCCAGGCTGGACCTCTTAAAGTGTTTCTCAGTGGAATATTCTCAGTAGTAACATGTCTGTTTATTCAGCCCTACAGGCTTTCTTAATTAATTGACACTGCCAACTGTAAACACTATAAAGTACGTATTGGCAGATATGGGTAGCAGATTTTTTTATTTGCAGACTTAGAAAGTATAACTTGATGATTACACACCAAGTTCTTGTTTATATTTCTTTAACACAATCGAAACTATGTTATGTTATGCTTGTTTATTACCATGGGAAACTTGCACTTTGCCGTATAAAAGTGTGTGTCCTCCATCTCTTCAGGACAAGTGGGTGTGAAAGCTCTGGAACTTCCTCCAAAGCTTATCATGATAAATTCAATCATCACGCTCCTTGTTTTGTTGAGCCGCATGGTTGGAAGGTCCATACTCAAGAATGAAATCAAAACTTGGTTACTGTTTCCTACAAGTGCACCTAGCTTATCTGAAGTATGTTATCTACAGTGAAGCCTCTATTATGTGGCCCTATTAAGTCGACACCCTATATTGGGAGAAGAATGGTCCATTTTGCCTCATGAAATCTTTGTTCCCATATTAAGGCTGGTGGGTGTCCGTTTTAAACAAGCATCAGTCGTTTGGGTGTTGCAAATGGACAGTTCCTTAACACACTGCAAAGAAGCACCTACACGAAGTGAATCACCACGTCTGTCCCCTTTGTTAAAACGCTAAATATCAAGGCATTATCCCTTTAAATAGGGTGAACTATAAAAGCTGATGCTAACTCGAAGTGTAAGATCAAACGTCAACCTAGATAAACTTAAAGTTAGATGCAAATATCTTATCTTATCTGAGTATTCATATATTTACCCTTACTGCTTGTTACACAGGGCTGTACATGTACATACACTTCGTTCCTGTGCTACAAACTATATTTTAAAGTATAAAATAGTAAATAGATGATTACATTTAAGTTACCATCTTATAATTAATAAGAATTGCATTGCACTAACAAATTTGCATGAAAGCTAGACAAAAATGTCTATCACCTTTTGTACAGCATTTCATCCATCACATTTAGTGACCACAAATAAATTTGCACTAATTGCTTTAAACCTAAACTAAGGGAAAGATCGTTGTGAAAATATAAATAATAAGCAACAAATCGAAAATAATCATTTTCACTAAACGTCATGCTGCTATCGCAACACACATTTCAATCCTGTTGTTCAGATATTTTTAAAACATGTTTCCAGTTATTGGTGGTTGTTGAATGAACAATTCTAAATATTTTTTCAAGATGTAAAACATATCAAAACTTTGCTCTATAAGTTCTCTTCTCAGCAGTAGTAAGGTTAGAAATGCGGTAAAAATTTCCATAAAAAATTACAAAAAACGAAGTCGTCTAGCGACGTTTTTGCAGCATGTAATCCGTCACAGTTAATGACCAAAGAAATTTCTAAAACTTGCATTAAACCCATTAAACCTAAGAACGACTTTTTAAGTATATGTCTTTAATGAGTCAAGATCATTTCACTATCTGTATATTGATAAAGACTAATGTTTCCAAGAAAAGGAAAGGTAAATACAGAGAGAACAAACCGGTTCCAATAAAATGCCAAAAATGGCCATAAATCGCCAGAACGAGGAAAAACAAAAAAGTGTGGTTAGCCCATTTTTATTTAAATCCTTTCACATACGTAGGTTACAAAAACAAATATTTTTTCCCATACCAATCCCTATATTTTGAAGGTTACTCGACGATGCCGATGTCATATTTCGAGCTTGATCCAGTTGGTTTGATTTGGTTATTGACGTTTTTAACATGAAGTTTTCTTTCTTTGCTCAAAGGTTTCTTTATTTGATTTTGTAGATCCACCACGTATAACTCACATCTCTGGGAATCAAACTTTGAAAAAGGGTGATATCGTAAGCCTTAACTGCA